CGGGCAGATAAACATAAGCTGAGAGGCACATAAAAGGTGAGCTGAGCTACAGCAGGACTGACATCAAATTTAACCATTCACAAATTACAATCACTCAATCACTCAATCACTCAATATGTATGTGTATGAATGTATGCATGACAACTGTGATATTCAGTAAAAAATGAAGTTTGAATAGCAAAATAAATTCTTGAAACTTTGTCTTTTCTTCCTACTGTTTCTTTTAATCAACTCAGTTAAACACTGCCATCATAGTAGTGACTTCTTCTGTACCAGTCTGTGATGCCAGTTATCAATGGAACCAGAGATCAAATCCAGCAGAGTTGGAACTAAATATGCCATACATATTCCTTAGAGGTTTAGTATGCCTTTTTGTGGTGTCTCCAAATAAAATACTCAAAAAACATTAAGAATGGAAAACTTACACAAAAAAAAAATATTTTGGCAGTTATTGCAAAAGACCAAATATAAGTAAAAAAATCACTGAAAATAGTAACAAAGGGTTTCTAACACACCAAGTCTGAAAAAAAATATGCTCTTCCTCTATGCAAAATTCAGCAATGGTAAAAAGCAACAAGAACAGGATTTTGTCCACTACTTCACATACTCTGGAAGACTTTATCATTCTTCTACACAGATTATTAAAAAAAAAAAGTCAAAACCCATTATGTATTTATTAAACTAGTTGATACGTACATGAATAATTCTTTGGCACTTCTAGAAGTATTAAAGCCTAGATGTCTACCATATTGTGTGAAACCTAAATTTGTCAATGAAAATCAGTCCAGGTACAGTCTTTTCTGAAAAGAAAAAAGAGCTACAACAGTATAATACAGTAGGTTTATTAGTAATCTGCCATATAAAATAAACATTGTACAAACAGATATATTGTTGAAATTGTGAAGGTTTCTACCCATCCAAGCTTTGTCTAATGCAGTAATTTGTAGACATTAGTTACAAATAGCCTTTCTTCTTTATTCTATTAAATGAAAATTAGTGACATACAAGGAAGACAAATTTAACTATAGTCTTAATAACACCAATGCACAAAACAGAGCTTGTAACTGAAACAGCATCAAGTTAGGCTTCTTGAGATAAGAAATATGTTTCAGAAGCTCCGTATTAATTAGATTGGCTTACATGAATTTTCTCACTTTGTTGTTGCTTGCTTTATGATATTAAAACAAGAAATGACAACACCAAGTTCCTCAAAAGGAATGTCTTTCAGTCTGACATTTTTGACTCTCATCAATACTTTCAAGGACAGAGAGATTTGTTTTTCGCTAGAGTGACTGTTTCAAATCCCTGCTGCAAAGTTGGATCAAACACATATGCTAGATGGTCTTAATGGTGTCTAGTTAAGGAGTATCTACCACATCCCTTGTCACCATGCTCCAGGGTTTTGTTGCCTTATAATTAAAGACTTTACTTAGATCATGGGGGTTTTGTTACAAAACTAAGCTGTTTTTTTTCCTTATTCTTCAGGTAACAGAACTGGAACAGAATTTATCTTCACCTTCACTGTAATCTGTTGTTTATCATTTTTAATGAGAAGGGTGTTTTGTCTGCCCTTAGTCTTCTCCCTCCCCTCTCCTCCAGAAAATATATAACTTCATTATATCCCAAAGATTCTATTTTTTAAGCCTCTTATTCTTTCTATCGTTATTCTTGCAGTGTTAAGGAGTAACAGGTATTATTTTGTGATGTAATGACACAGTCATAATTTAAATAAATTATTATCATCAAAACAGAGGTAATTCAGAACAAAGTCAGACTACCACCCTGCCTAAAACTAATATCCAGTTTCAAATGGCAACAGGTTGCCATTTAATGATGGTTCTAGAGCAAACCAGAAGGTAAATCTGCACCTAGTCTACAGGGAACTTGTGATTTACATTGGGTATAAAATGAAGACACTGTTTTAAAAGGTGTGGCCTGCTTATTATAAGTACAATTGATATTCTTATTACTCTGTTCTATGTATCAGTCTTTATTAATGCAATCCAATGCAAGTGAGAGAGATTGGAGATGTACTTCCTGAATAATAGGACAGGAGCAGAACAGTGGTCCCCATTTCTCTTGTTCCCCTAGCAAATTATTACTGGTAGTTCATTTGCTCATCTTTGAAAATGCATTTGTCTTTTTTTTTTCAATCAGAAATTATTCTATGAAAAATTTATCTGTTTGTGCATACATATTACTGTAGCACCTAAAAGCTCTGTGCTTTTATTAATCCTCCTTCTGCTGTGTATTATAATGCAGAGTACAAGGTCATTTCATTTACAAAGATCTTAGAAATCGCGGGTAAAACAAGAGACAACTGATGAATGTTTAAAACAAGAGATAGCTAATGGACAGGAAATGACAAGTGTACAAGGGAATAACAAGACAATACTAGTCACTGTGATAGGCAGCAGTCTCATCACAGAGTCACTTTAAACACTGTGAACACTTTGTTTCCCTTTAGGTAACACTTAAATTTAGATATTTTAAGGCAAGACTAAATACAGAGGAGGGAATAAGAAATTAGTTTCTGGATGTTTTGTGAGAGTTAATTCTGATAATGAGTTGCAGTTTGTGGAATAGAAATAAGGTGATTGTTTCACAAGAAAGCAATTGGTTTCATAAAGAATGGTAACATGTGCTGGCTAGAAGCAGGAGGTAGTGTCTTAACACCAAATAAGTAGGAAGATATTGGAAGTAAATATGCTTTAAAAAGTCCTGAAAATAAAGGCAAGTTGAATATGTCTGATAAAGAAGAGAAAACCAGAAACACATAACTGTCAATTCCAGTGCATAGCTTTACGTTTCTTTACAATAACCTGTATTTCAAGTTTCAGTCTTTTTATACACATAACAGTGTGCAACATGTAAAAATCTAAGCATGTTTATTCCCCCATCCCCTCAATTTGTCTGAGATGCAAGTCTCGAATCCATGCAACATAGGCTATTAACATAAATTAGTAAAGAGAAAGCACTGAAACAGACTGAAATATTAATTATGCTCAGCTGGTCTTTGCTGAGTGCATTGCTAAAAGGTGTCCAGTGGTAGACCAGCGTAGCCGTATTTGTACGCTCACTGTGTTGATAGGTATACACAGTGTCTGTGAGATGAGTTTGATAATGAGTGTCTGTTTGGCATTCACTCTGCATGAAACACTGGCTGGCAAGCCTGGAATTTTATTGATCAAAGTGGGCAGTGTGAGAGCAAGTGGGCAAAACACCAGCTAATGGTAGCCAGAAGCATTTGTTATCACCCAGAGTGAACGCCTGTCTCCTCATTTAAGTACTGATTGAAACAAATTTCTTTACAATTCCTCAGAAAGGTGTCTTTGACTATACAGTTTTTGATGTTTGAGTTGTCTGTCCTTTGGTATGTACTGCAAGAAAATGAATCTTGATTTTCAAGATTAGTTTCTATGTAAATTACTGCAGAGTGTTACACGCACCTGTTGTACAGGGAGACTCTCCAAAGCCTTTAGGCCTTTTAAACCTCACTCAAGCTTTATTTGAGAGCCAAGTTGAGCTTAGCTGGCCTTGTCTTGCAGCTTTAGGAAAATTAGCAATTTTCCACAGAAAATTGAAACAAGAGAGTACCCAAGTCATATTCACTCAATTCAAGTCTCATCTTGCACAGATACAGCTTTACAGTTGAAAACTAGAAAATGTTAAGAAATTGGAACATGCACTTTCATACCTACAATTCTATGTGCCTTACAGTTAGAACTCTTTTCTCTTTTTCTTAGTAAATATACATATGCAGATTAGGTTTTAACAGAATAATGTTCAACATCATGTAAAATTGACAGAAGGAAAGAAACTGTTGTCTATATGGCCTGTCATTTTAAACAATTTTGAAGTTTCCCTTTGAATAAGGATTGATGTTCATAACATTATTCTAGGTTCAGCTACGGCAGTCAAACCACAACAAACACTATTATTTAAGTAATGATCTTAAAATGCATATATTTATACTTTATCCTGTACATGTAAAAGGATTATGGATTTTTCAGGCCTAAAGTAAATGCAGCCAAATATTTTTGCAGTATGCTATACAGACAGATTGGCATGTGATAAATTCATAAGCCAGGCTTCTCTAGCATAGGAAAAGACTAAAGCCTTGAAGAGAATGGCTAATATCATTGCCAGGTAAGGTTTAAGAACTGTGTGTGGTAATGATTTTCATAATTTTCCTTTTTACCTCAGAAGATGGCTGTTCTTACCTGAGAACTGCACTTGATTTAAAATTCAGAATTTCATTTATTATACCAAAAATCTCTTAAAAGTCAATAATAGCATATAGTTTGTGCAAAGCCTTCATTTTTCTGAAAGAAACTAGCTTCAGAAACCTACAGCTTTCAAGATGCATTTACCCTTTGCCTGTTTAATTGAAAACAAGGATGTCATAGGTGATGGAAATTTCTGTTGATCAGGAGGAGAAAGTTGCAAATTTTTGCTGCTTCTCATGGTACCCTACAGCCTTTTTGGCATTTTTGAAGGCATTTTCTGAGTTGGGAAAGAAGGAAAGAAGAGGTTAAAAAATTATCTGCACTGCTCTGTTTCAGCTGTCAGTCATAACGGCCACTAAGGCTAGATGTTCACCCTTCAGGCAGTTCTGTTACTGCAGCTCAAAATGAGCCCTGTCTAAGCAGAAACATACAATTATTTCAATCAAATTATTCTTGCGCTACACAATACAATTACCCCGCTTAATTTGGAAGATAAATTAATTGAAGAATGATTTTCCTTTTTTGCATATCCCTGTGTGGGATATTCATAACAGACAGTTGAAACACTTGACTTTCATGCCAGAGTCTCTAAGAGAATCTCTATTTTAATCAGAAGCAGACTTTGTTTCGGCTCTTTCCTTTTAGGGAGAGGAAGAGGTTTTTCACACTGCAAGTCATCTCTTACATTTGCACAGAGTCAACATGTAAAAGTGGAAAGAGAGAAGTCATGCTTTATCAAGATTTATTTTCTTTTTTTTCCCTCTTCCACAGATGAAGATTGATTGAAAAAAAGAGTTCAGAATGAATTTCTCTGAATATCTATCTCTCACACTGATGCTGGTTCAACTTTGGCCTTGCTCTCCAAGCATGCAGAACTGCTTGGCTCAAAACACATATCAGTCTTTCACAGCAGTTCGAAGAGTGAAACGTGGCTGGGTGCGGGAGCCACTTTTCGCAACTGAGGAACAGACTTCAGTGGTGCCCGTGTATGTTGGACAGGTATGATAAACAATGATTCAAGGATGGTACAAGGTTAGATTTAACGTGCTGATTAGCAGCTTGTTACCTTGACTTGGAAGACCAAGCATCTCCAGCAACCTGTCAATATCAAAAAAAAAAAGCAAAAATTGAAGCTTTGGGAGCTGCAATTGGTCAGCACATCTCTCCTTTACTGTGACCTAACTTAGGGTCAGAGACCTCCAAGAGCTTGAGGTTGTGGCAGTACCAAGGACCTTCCTTCACCTACGTCTGCTGTCAAGAAAACTCCACATTCACTCTGTTACTAAAGCTGTCTCCATATACAGCAGATGAAGGTATCAAGATAAAAAATTCTTTTCTGTTTTCTGAATGAAGGTTAAGGACTTATCAACATCTGGCAATTTCCTTGTGCTATTTTTAGCAGGGCATCAAAGCAGTCATACTGAGCGTAGTGTAGTTTACAAACAGTATTTAGCATGATTTTATATTACATTAAAGTAGCAGTTGATTTACCCCTCATTAATTTTTAATGAAGCAGATTAATACTAAATCCTTTTACCACTGAGAAACTACAGGAAGTGGCGTGGTTCATTAGATTAATGTAAATTTAGCACAAGGAGCAATTATTTTTCACTCTCCTTTAAAAATGTGCTTTAAGATAATTGCCTTAATTGTCTTAAGATAGGCTTTATCTACCACTTTCTTCTCTCTCTGCTGATAATTATTATTATTATTAAATACTTTTTTTCTATGCTAGAAATAATTGTAATCTTGAGATCTAGTTTCCTTTTCTTTAAGGCAATTTCTAGATGAATGAACCTAAATAAGCTTAACTGCCAATTAACTAGCACTAAGATTAAATTGGGCCCAAAGGGTGAAGTGTTCAAAATTCATTAATTACTCTTTCACTGCTCCTTGGAAGTAACTACTATAGAAGTGTGATGTCTCACTTACTAAAAGGAAGTGTAGACATACTGATTTTTTTAATAATTATTACTTTTCCATAGCTTGAAAACAGTTTCTTGTAAAGAAATTTCATAACTGTCCTATATTTTCACAAAGCTTTAGAAAAAATTCATAATCTCTCCTTTATATTTCTCACAAGTAAATTATAGGGATTTTTTATTGAAGAGTATAGTTAATTTATTTCAGTCTAAGCACTGTCCAATCAGACATATGTTTTTGTGCCTTTTTATTGAGATTATGATTTTCTTTTGGTAAATAAAATTATAATTTATAATTAACACACAAATTTTTAATAAATAAGGCCCTGAAGGAGACAACATCAAAGAAAATGAAAAGGTAGACAATCTATTTTTAAGTCACTATTCCCACTTCTCATCTACAACAAAAAGACCATGAATTCTTTTCTGTCCAGGTTAATAAAACAGGTAAGCTCAGGATCTTAACTATGCTTTCTTAACAAATATCATTTGTAAAAGACCTCTCATTTAACATGATCAGGGGCATGAAAATATATTTGGGGTAAATGATGCTACATGAAGTGGTTCAACACAGGTTATGTCTAAAAAGGCAGTGCGATGCACACTTCTCTAAAGGTTTGGTGCACTCTGTGATCACATCTGAACCCCATCTCTGGTTAAAGATCTAGATATACACCACCTTTCCCATGCCCTGGGGTTCATGAAAAGGAAACCAAGATTATGGATCAAAAAAAATCTGTGGTGCCCCCTAGCCAGATACTCAATTTGCGTGGTGTTAAAATGAATTTAGCCAGATCGCTCACAAAGGGCCAGACCTGCCCCATATTTTGCACAACTACTTAATTACAAAACATTTCACTTTAAGTTGTTCATATTTTAAATAGTTCTAAATCCTGAGAAATTAAGTTATTGGTATTTAAAAAGCAGTTGCATATTGTTAATATGAACAGAACTGGTTTGTTGTCATGAACAAATGAAACTGGACCACAGTGATCTCCAGGGCTCAACTTCATCAGAGGAATCATCATCATAAAGTTCATCTTAGCAAGACAACAGAGGATGCAGATATTCCTGGAGGGAAATGGAAAATGTCTATCATTTTATTTCAAAATAAATAATATAGGCTTATACCACAATAGCATTTCATCTCTTTAATATTTCAACAGAAATAGAGCTGCCTTTCATATTTACACTTAGTATTGCTGAGTACAAAAAATATATACAAAACTCACAAAGTACCTTGTCATTTGTAATAATAAAAAATTTAGATAATGCTTAATGACCTTATCTTTTTCAGCAGAAGTTTATGAGACCTAATGAAGAAACAAAGTAAAGTAGGCACTTACATTCATTCCCTTCAATTCAAAGCGGCTGAAGCAACTTTTTTTCAGGTTTACCAGAGAATTATATGTTTATTATAGAAAAACTTTAAAACTGAGCCCTGACTGGAAGAAAATGTCACAGTACCCTCTTTTAAATTAGCTCAGTAGTGACAGCACTCATTGTAGAACAAAATAAAAAAAACCCTTACAATGCAAATTCCAAAACTTTGCACCTCCCAAAATGTGGCTAAACTTTTCTGGTTTGTATTTGCAGGTGCAATCAAATTTAGAGCAGGATGGCAAAATAAAATACACTTTGACTGGGGAGGGAGCTGGAAGCATTTTTATCATTGATGAAGATAACGGCAAAATTTACGTGACACAAAAGCTGGATAGAGAAAAGAAGCCCTTCTACGCTCTAAGAGCACAAGCAATTAACACGAGCACTCAGCTTCCTGTTGAACCTGATTCAGAATTTATTATCAAGGTTCGAGATGTCAATGATCATGAACCACAGTTCTTGGGTGGACCTTACATGGCTACTGTTCCAGAGATGTCACCTGAAGGTACTGCATGGTGTGAACCAAACTCTTTAATTGCTGACTTTTTTTCCAGATAGCTATATTGATATAAACATTTAATAACGTATTTTATAGACTGCCTTTCAGTAAGAAGAAAACACACTATTTTATAAGGTTGGAAATTTTCAAAGGCATATGTTTAAACTGAAGGTTGTACACACCTCTGTTTAATATCCTGGCTTTCAAATATTTAGATATCCACATATATTCAAGTCCTTTTAAAAAATCTGCTTGGATACATGCTTGGATTGACAATAGATAGATGTCTTTCTCATCAGTAATTTAGTCTTGAAATGGGTACACATTTAAAACTATAATATTGCAATTTGAAATAGGTAGAGTACTATAGCCAGTTGATCCTCTAGAGGAGACATGGGACTGACCTATTTCATAGAATCATAGGATAGTTAGGGCTGGAAACTACCCTCTGTAGTATAAATCATATTGTACTGTAATTGCAAAAGAATCACAATCACATGACAGGCACTCACAATTTTCTGTTTTCCCCCCACCCAAAGAGGGAGATAGTTCCTTTCTTATAAGTAATGTGTTCAGAACATGAATGGTATGGAGCTGATATGGGGCTGATGTCATGACCATCCTTACATCATATGTGATGCTTACCTATTTAAACTGTCAAGCCTCTTTCCCATCAGTCAGCTTCACTTCTGATTTCCTAAGCACATGAATTATAATTTTTCTTGTCAAGAGGAATAACTTAATCCCAACACTTCTTTCCCACCTCCGCATGATCAAACAGATATGTACAATGATCTGTCATGTATGTGGAAACTCAATACAATAAATATGAAGCAAATAAACATCTGAAAAAAAATATATATACACATATATGTGTACATACTCATATGCATACATAATCATAGAATAGTTAGGGTTGGAAAGGGCCTTAAGATCATCTAGTTCCAACCCCCCTGCCATGGGCAGGGACACCTCACACTAGACCATGTCACCCAAGGCTCTGTCCAACCTGGCCTTGAACACTGCCAGAGACAGAGAATTTACCACTTCTTTGAGCAACCCATTCCAGTGCCTCACCACCCTCACAGTAAAGAACTTCTTCCTTATATCTGACCTAAACTTCCCCTGATTAAGTTTGAAACCATTACCCCTTGTCCTATCACTACAATCCCTAATGAAGAGTCCCAGCCCAGCACCCTTATAGGCCCCCTTCAGGTACTGGAAGGCTGCTATGAGGCCTGCATGCAGCCTTCTTTTCTCCAGTCTGAGCAACCCCAACTTTCTCAGCCTGTCAAATGTCTATAGCATACAGATATGCCTGTCATATAATGTCTATGACATACAGATAAATCTTTAAAAAAAGAAGTATGAATGCAGCTGACATAAAAAGGTATGCCAGAGATACTGCTATCATCAAATATTTTTTTTTAATCAAAGAAATGTATCTGTTATTAAGATAAATTTGAAAAAATATTGTAAAAAATCAAAGGATTCTTTAAGCCTTAGAGAAACTATTCCAGTAATGTTTTAAATTTATGTCTCTCTTTCTTTGGGTTATTTCTTTTACAAATAATATTGAAAAAAATTCAAATATTGTGCTACTTAAAGAGCTATGAAATAATGAGGTCATTAACGTAATAACATCAGTGATCATTAAATGTAATAAAAACTATTTTTCATTCAGCATTACCCATTCAACTTTTAGGGCAGATTCAGTCAATCTTTCACAGGGAGCTGTAAACTTTGTCTTTTGCCAGAATGGACAGGAGTTGCAGGAAGAGGATATTCATGCTTGGGGTTTAATCAAAAGTGGGGTTAGTATCCTAATTTCTGCCAGGAAATTCACTACCAGCTACAAAAGATATCCACTTAATCAATTTATTCCTTAGACATCCTGCTTATACAGCCTTCTACCAGGGAAATCATTTTTGGGTGTATGATTGCCATTTTTTATGCCATTTTCTCCCATGCAGACTTATTTTTTCTACAGACTTTTACACTGAGGTTTTTGTCAAATTACTTTTTCTTGACATAATCAGATGGTTCTTCAGAGGGTACCTCTAGCCTTTCCATCTTGGTCATTCATGCAGGCGTGCAGATAAGAGAATAGGTGCCTTATCAAAGACTTTTGTCCTTTGGGGTTTATTTCAAATGTGATTGCAATAATAATGGGCATAGTTCATTGTCTAGAATTATGTGTGTATTTGTATCTGGTATCACACAAATTTAAGACTTTGACAATGCTCTTTTTCCTTTTTTTTTTCCCTTTGTTGCAAAATGTTTTTTATGAAGCACTTGGTCTCTTATAAAAGTGGTTTTAAAATAGCTGATAACTTAACTTTATTTAAACTCACAGTTTCTGTAACCGTCCATAAAAGTATACAAAAAATTGACTTAAGTGTTCTTTCTATGTTACCTTTCTGTCTTAATGATGAGCTCCTATCTTAAGGATGAGCATATTGAAAAAAAGAATTAAAAAAATCTGAAGTAACACCACATTACATTGGTCAATATAGGTGAAAAATAACATAAGATCCCTGTGTGCCTCCTCTCTCAGACACAGACTACCTGAAATAGTAAACACTAAGATTTGCAATCATCCGGTGTATGGTATGTGAATCTAAGTCAGTGCTATGGATCTTGATATATTTTCTACACTGCTTCTCCTACGTTTTACCTGTCCAGCACTAATATTATAGCTATTTCAGAGATCGGTCTTTTACCTACTTTTCCATGTAATGCTACTACACTACTGGTGTACTACTGTGTATATCTGGCATATAGAATGTAAGTAGAGTGGTGTATAACAGTTTATACCTTAATAATGGTCAGCTCCAGTGCATGTAATGGCTGAACCAGGTACCATGAGGACTTCTCTGTGCTCACTTACTCTGCTTTTCAGAGGATAGGGACTGAGGTGAAACATTTCAGTGTGTATCCTAAAGCATTAATCTTTACATGGAAATTTTTAAGCTCACAGTATATAGAAACAGTAACCAGTGAAAATTTGCAATATTGGTACCATGATGGTATCAGTATCAGTGTTTTTCTCCTAGTAAAATAGAATATCCTCTTGCATAATGGGGGATGTAGACTGGAATTAGTTTAAATTATACAGTTCAATAGATTTGCACTTTAGTCTTTTTCAGAGCTCTCTAGCAGTTCAACACACTGATGCTAGATCTAGAATCTCCTAGCAATTTCCTCACAGAAAACATGCTCAGGAAGTGTGACCAATACTTGGGAAAGCAGTTCACTGTTAGTGAACACTTTGTCTGAAGCTAAGATAGAATTATTTGCAGCTGGCCACTTGTCTCAGAGAACCACAAAAAAAACCAGAAAATCTATGCAGACAAATTTGCCTAAAGTTAAGCAGAAATATCAATATAAATACACAAATAGGCCAAAAGATTAGAATACATTTTACTTCTTCCTTGTCTCTCTTTTAGGTTCAGCACTAAATTTTATTAAGATTTTATATGCAAGTGGCACAGTAAATGAAAAGCGTGCCAGCAAATGGACTCTTCTGATAACACAGGCCTGTGCTTTTCCCTAAGCCATTTGGTACAATTATACATTAAGTATCTTCGATATACCTGTTAAACTTGTATTAATGCAGTATGTCTGACAAAACAGTTAAGACTCACATGCAATGATGCATGGGTATTTAATGTTTTTATAGATTTTAAGTTCCAGTTAGAAAAATTAATAACAGTTTGCCATATGAGGGCCCTGTAGTCTACTCAATGGGTTGCAATATATATTTGGCACTAATATGTTTTGCTAAGAAGGGTAAAATGAAGGCTTCAGAAATACAAAGAAAAATCTTATACAGCAACCAGCAAAATGTAGTTTGCCTTAAATCAAGATACTAAAAAGCAATAAATGTGTAAGCATGTTTGCTATCCAGTTCAAGACATTGCTTATAAAGAAAACCACATGTTTGGGGCTAAACTTTACATCAGCATCACACAGACTCCCATATTCAAAACCACATGTTTGAAAGCCTACACAGTTAATTTGCCCCTGCCATGATGTCCATTTTCACATACATGTTGTGAAACTGTATCATAGTTCAATTGTCAATTATATCATGTCATGCCTGCAATGACAAGAGTTGGATTTTGGGGGCTATTTGGGTTTTTTTGTTTATTTGTTTGTGGGATGATTCTGTGTTAATTGGTTGTTTTAAAGATATTGTTTGTATCTGATCAATTATTCTTGTCCAATCATGGAGTTACAAAAAATGGCTTTTTGGAGTTTCTGACTACGTAACATTCACATTGTAATTTCTATCACTAAAATAGAAATGCATAGGTAAATATGATTTCATCCAGTAAATGGTTTACTTTTTTTTTTCTCTGCAGGCTAACTGTACAAAGAAAAACAGGCTTCATGGCAGTGAAAAATTAAAAAAGAAAAGCATATTCAAATGCAGGATAACCTTTTTCTTCTGCTTAGTCTATACATAGTTTATATGTCTATATGTAATGTAGAGTCTCATAGAGTGATCATGAAATCTTTGTCATAAAAAAATGTGTGGGAAAACTATGCCTTCTCTTTATATGGTCTATGGCCTCTTCAGTTTAGAAATAGTCTTCCTCCTGAGAGCATAGGACATCTGCTATTGCTTTTCCTCCAGGTCATCTCCCTCTTTCCCAGGTGCCCCTTGCTAGCTTACCTTTTCATTATATCCAACAGCTGCACCTCACTGAGCCTAAGCAGGCAAATTCCATGCTTCTGCCTCCTGCTATACTCTGGAAGAGTCAAGAGGCAAGCAGAAATGTAGCGTGAGGCTTAGAGAAGGAGCAAAAGCTGGTTTAGATTCAACATTTTGTACTAATGGTTAGAAATCATGCAGAAAATGTATCTACCTTTAAATGAGTGAGATGTACAAAAGCTGTAATAACATTGCAGTCCTACATATGTTGGATTTTGTTCCTGATTTATTAAATATGGTGCTGTAAACAGGTCAATTTCTAAACGCAGTTCTGGGTGCTTGGGTTTATTTAGTATAAAAAGTCATTTATAACAGACTGTACTTCTTCTATTATTCATTACTCCCTTCCTTACTAGCACTCCATTTTTTTTTTCTTTCAAAGTGACTGCATTCAAGTAATATTCAATTGTCTTACAGGATGAATTTCCTGTATTAGAACAGTTTCCATAGACTGTAGCTGACACAAAATTAATGGTTTTGTAGTTGAAGATTTCCTTTACCGTTCGGTCTTATTAAAAATACTGTTATTTCTGAATCATATATGTACCCTGGTTAAATATTAATCTGTCATTTTAAATTTAACATCTGCACACATATTTGATGCATGCCTATATGTCATAAGTTCGGTATCGTAGGTATGTTTTGAAGGACATATAACTCCAAAAGACAGTGGCAATTGATAACATTTCCATCTACCTCTATACTGAGAGAAGATAACATGCATTATGGAATCACTTCAAGTGCTGCTGAATAAACTGAGAGAAAATGCAACGGATTTTTTTTTAAATAATCAAAATATTTCATTCAACATACCCTTATATGAGAAAGCCTTCTTAATTTCTATTTAAAAATAAAAGTATGGAACTGCTGGAAAATTCAGAAATGATATATTTGTTTTACTGGACATAAGTATCAACCTTGAGTTTGTGTTTCTGGTCTAACTCTTTGCACATCATAGTTTCTTCTTTTTTTCTCCTCCAGCTATACTAGTAAGCAAATGCAACCGTATGAATATATGCCAGAAAGTTTTAGAAAGTAGCTTGACTACCTGCCATTATTTACAAGAAGTGATATTTGTATCCTTATGCAGAACCTAGATGAGGAAAAAAGACAAAAATAACGATTACCTTTCAAAATGATGTTACTGTGAATGTTTCTAATCTCATGGCATTGATGCTGCCATGAGATTGCTGTCAGTCTTGTATTGAGGACATAACCAGCTTCCAGCCAGAGATGGAATCAAGTTCTGCAGATTGATTCTGCTGCAGTTTTGCACTACAGATTCTGCTGTCTCTCTTGCAATGGGACAGGCTCATTAAAGACTCAAGAAAAAAAAATATTACCAGAGCCCTGTTATACGTCTTGGCTGCTTTGCTTGCTAACAATTAATTTCTTCAGTAGGCCTACTGGTGATAAAGTGGCTGTGTTTTCTTATTTCCATGGGAAATTTCCATAAGATACTTTGAAGAATATACAAGGGCAAGAGAAACAATTTTCTGTACTCCATTCACATATCAGAAGATATGTAGGATTTTAAGCAACATACAGTGCTGAAAAGTCATATGCTATTTATTTATATTTTAATTGAAAATTTGAATGCAACAAGAATAGCTGCTGAGGAACTATTTTCCCTTTTTAATGATGAATTTTAGAGCATGCCATTTGCTCCTGTAAATTTTCAGGACTGCTTGGTAATATAACTGGTATGTTAAAAGCTTTTTTTTTAAAAAAAGAAAAGTCTTATATTTTGTAATTTATACAAGAAGACAACAAGCACAATCTATTTTATTTTTCCTTAAGGTACTTCAGTTATACAGGTAACAGCTACAGACGGTGATGATCCTTCTTATGGGAATAGTGCCCGTCTACTTTACAGTCTCATTCAGGGACAGCCTTATTTCTCTGTGGAGCCAAAAACAGGTACTAAAAATGATCTTGCAACTTGAAAACATTACTAAAATAACATAAAATGGATGCAAAAATGTCTTCATTTCAACACAAACATCAACTGATACTACCTTACATTTATGCATCTTTGTATAGGTCGCATATTTAGAAACAAATCAATTCTTTCTCTGAAATTCTCTCTGTCTGAAGAAGTAACAATTTATTTAGAAAATTATCTTGCTAAGGAAATGAGCTGGACTCTGAGTACCTCATCCAGCAAATGGACCTACAAAAAATTCTGGATTAACAGCTTTATGAGTCATTATGTGACATTCTGTTGTGGTTTAAGCCCAGCCGGCAACCCAGAACCACTCACCCGCTAGCTCACTCTCCCCCTTCCTGCTGAACCCAGGATAATTCCTATCTTTCCTGCTAAAGAAACCACAAATATGTGACATCCCTCCAAAAATCCTGATTTCTGGTTGTCCTGGGTTAAGCAGTAGCAGTCATTTTTCTCCTTCTTAGTAGCTGCTGCAGTGCTGTGGTTTTGACTTTTGGCCTGGGAACAACACTGATAACACCCATGGTTTTTGTTGCTCCTAAATAATGTTTACTCTGACCAAGGACTTTCTGAGTCTAATGCTCTGCCAGGGAGGAGGAGAAGCCGGGAGGAAGCAGAGACAGGACACCTGACCCAAACTAGCCTAAGAGGCATTCTATACCACAGCACATCACGCCCACTATATAAACTGGGGGCAGTTACCCAGAAGGGCTAGATGACTGCTCGGGTCAGGGTGGGTATAGGTTGGTAGGTGGTGTGTGGTTGTGTTTTCTCCCCTTATCATTTCTCTTATCATTATCATTATTGGCGGTAGCAGTAGTGATTTGTGTTACACTTTAGTTACTGGACTGCTCTTATCTCAACCCATGGGAGTTACATTCTTCTGATTCTCCTCCCATCCCTCCAGGAGTGAGGGAAGGAAGGTGGGGGGGAATGAGCAAGCAGCTGCTTGGCTCTGATTTACCAGTTGGGCTTAAACCATTACACTGGTGAAGAAAGATGGTTATGTATGATGGAGGAGATATATGTTATGTTTTACTCCCTATGTCTCAAAGTATGCAGAATGTATCTGTCATACATCATAGATGTTACCATGAATACTAATTCTCAATATTAGGACAGTGTACTGTGCATGTCAATTAATAACTGCATCAAATGATGCATTTTATACCCATAATATATGGTCGGATACTGGGAAAAAAATGGGACTATTATTTGTTGCTATATTATACTTTTTGATTTTAGGGGTCATCAGAATGGCTTCACAAATGGATAGAGAAACAAAAGATCAATATTTGGTCATCATCCAAGCTAAAGATATGGTTGGGCAAGCAGGGTCATTTTCAGCAACAGCCACTGTTACCATCAACCTCTCTGACATCAATGACAATCCACCTAAATTTCAACAGCGTGAGTATAGGCTACTTGAAATAGTTGAAGTCTTGAGGAAATTTAGACGTACTATAACTCTGTTAAGTTCATTGGAAGGTCTGTGCTTTGACTTCAGCATATAGATTTAAATAAAAATAGAATGAATTCCATACAAAGCTCAAAAAAGAAATTGAAACCTATCATTACAAAGGACCTCAGGCCTGCTGTTTTTATCAGTAGGCTTTGGAGATAAATGACTTACTAAACTGCTTTCCATACAATTTACTTTATATAAGCCTAAAATCTGGGCTACAGGATATTTAGTACTATTTTACCTCACCTTCTTTCTTTTTCTCCTTTTCTTCATTCTTTTCCAACAGATACTGTAAAATTTTTGGCAAATTAGTTGACCTTCTCTGCTAGCTCTGCTATCAGGAAGAACTAGTGAAACGCAGTAGGGAAGTGCAGCCCTCCCCTCTTCTTTCATCCTGTTGGTTCATAAAATCATAGAATAGAATCACAGCTTTCCAACCCTTGGGTTGGAAATGATCCTTAAAGGTATGCCAAGCCATCTTCAGTGAACAGGAACATTTTCAACCACACCAGGTTGCTCAGAGCTTTGTCCAGACCAACTTTTAGTGTTTCGAGCGATGGAGCATCTACCACCTCTGTGGGTGACTTGTTCCAATGTTTCACCATTCTCATTGTGAAATATGTCTTGGCTTTACCCAAATTTCTGAGATCCTTAGGCCATCATAGCTACAGCACATATTAATCATGGCAGTTCACTAAACTGTGCTGGTATTTATTTCTTTAGGACTCTATTATATGAGTGTCTCTGAAGAGGCTCCTGTGGGCACTACTGTAGGCAAAGTCTTCGCAGAAGACAGTGACATAGGGGAGAATGCAGCCATGAGCTATTCCATTGAAGGAGATATTTCAGATGTTTTTGACATCATTACTAACAATAAGACTCAAGAAGGTATCATCTTATTGAAAAAGGTAAGATCTCAGAAACCTTCTAAAAAATCCCTGAAGAGTGGAATGACTCTCCTCAAACAATCTGGATGTTTAAAACAGGTTTATTTTTTTGCATTCTACTGTATGTTTCTTCAGCCTTTGTGATTTGGTTAGGATATTGGCGGAATAAAAAGAAAAATGTTTTTCTTTCTGTTTACTTTTTTTGACTCATTACTGCTGAATACAATAGTGACAAAGTACCTTAATGTTATTCCTATCTGTGCATTAGTATATTCCCATTGTGAGAAAATGTACTTCTGTGCACCATCTGTAAAATCTTTATAAATAAGTTGTGCACAATATTTCCCCACTTCGAACACCTTTTGTTAAACTTTGTTTTTCTTAGGGGTGTCATTCTACAGAAAGACTTGTTTTAGTGTTGCTTAACTGTAACATTAAAGCCAGCCTACATATGAAAGCAAAAAAAAAAAAGGCATAATACAGTTTAATTTTAAAGTGGTTTTAACCGAACAAAAATATCGTAGTAGTAACTCCTTTTGTAAAATTTGCAAAAGAAGGGTAGCACTTTTTTGTTTTTAATATCACACCACTTCCTGAACAGTATTTAATTCAAATATGAAACAAAAACCCAGTTCTATTTCTCTCTTTCTTTCTTAACAGAGAGTGGATTATGAAAGTAAGAGGAGATACAATATTGGAGTAAAAGTTGTAAACAGGTACATTGATGACCGTTTTCTGAAAGAAGGACCGTTTGAAGACAAAACTATTGTCAAAATTAATGTGGAAGATGCTGATGAACCTCCAGTTTTCACCATGGAGAATTATGTGATGGAGATTGCTGAAGGGTCTGCGAGTGGTTCACTGGTGGGAGTTGTAACTGCTAGAGATCCAGATGATGATGATTCCCCAATCAGGTACCCAACTTAAATATGAACAGGCCTCAAACATAAATGCAGTTGTGATTTTCAAAGGCTAGTTCTGTTCCTGACCTTGGTTCATAGGCTGCACCAAAAGGAACATGACCAACAGGTTGAAGGAGGTGATCCTGCCCCTCTACTCTGCTCTTGTGAGACCTCACCTGGAGTATTGTGTATAGTTCTGGTGTCCTCAACATAAAAAGGACATGGAACTGTTGGAACAAGTCCAGAGAAGGGCCACGAGGATGATCAGGGGACTGGAGCACCTCCTGTATGAAGATAAGCTAAGATAGTTGTGGCTGTTCAGCCTGGAGAAGAAAAGGCTGCATCGAGACCTCATAGCAGCCTTCCAGTATCTGAAGGGGGCCTATAGGGATGCTGGGGAGGGACTCTTCATTAGAGACTGTAGTGACAGGACAAGGGGTAATGGGTTAAAACTTAATAGGGGAAGTTTAGATTGGATATAAGGAGGAAATTCTTTCCTGTTAGGGTGGTGAGGCACTGGAATAGGTTGCCCAGGAAGGTCGTGAATGCTCCGTCCCTGGCAGTGTTCAAGACCAGGTTGGACAAGGCCTTGGGTGACATGGTTTAGTGTGAGGTGTCCCTGCCCATGGCAGGGGAGTTGGAACTAGATGATCTAAAGGTCCTTTCCAACCCTAACCATTCTCTGATTCTACGATTCTATGCTTTCATTGTGATAGTCTAGGTTATTCTAGGTGTCACGGTTTAACCCCAGTAGGCTTCTAAGGACAGCACAGCTGCATGTTCACTCCCCACACTGGGATGCAGGAGACAATCATAAGGGTAGGAGTGTGAAAACTTATAGGTTGAGATAAAGACAGCTTAATAATAATAATAATAACAGCAACAACAAGAAACAACGATAACAACAAAAGGGAAAAGAACAGCTACAAGACCTCAAGGAAAACTAGTGATAGAAAAAAGTCCCAAACAACTGCTTACCATCAGGTGGCCAATACCCAGCCCCTCCCAGTTTTTTTGCTGAGCACGATGTCATTAGTAAGGGATATCCTTTTGTTCAGTTGGGGTCTGCTGTCCCAGTTGTGTCCCTTCCCAGCTTCTTGTGCACACCTAGCCTGCTTGATGGTGGGGTGGCATGAGAAACAGAAAATACATTGGCACTGTGTAAGAAATGCTCAGCAATAATCAAAACATCCCTGTGTTATCAACACTGGTTTTGTCACAAATGAAAAACACAGCCTTATCCAAGCTACTATGAAGAAAATTAACTCTATCCCATCCAAAACCAGTACAATAGGTTAAATCCTGACCCTTAGCCAGAAATCTATATAAATGAACTTTGTACATTATTCCAATCAGTTTGAGACAGAACAATATTTTAGACAGTGGCCTGGAAGAGGCCCCCAGGGTTTTTAATTTTGCAAAATAATTTTGCTGTCTCTTGAGGGAGAAAGCAGGTCATTAACCTTTAATATGGAGTTTATAATTACAACAAATTCTTGAGTTGCATGATGTCACTATGTAGTGTGCAATTTTGATAAGATAGGATACAGGGACAAATGGATGAGCCACAAAATAATTTATGGTGTGTAGGTTCCTAATAAAAAAAATATATATGTTGAACAGAGCCTTGGCCGACATGGTCTACTGCAAGGCATCCCTGCTGATGGCAGAGGGGCTGGAACTAGACAGTCTTAAAGGCCTTTACAACCCTAATCATTTTATGATTCTATGATGTTATGATTCTATGTGTGTGCATATATATATGTATGTATCTATAAGTATGGTTTCAGAGGTTTAGTCAATGAAAGGTCATTTGTTATGATTTTACATTCATTTACTATTATTAAGTAAACTGGCAATAGATTAAATGAGAATAAATAAAAATATACATATACTTCTTTTTTTTTAAAAAAAAAGAGCTTTTTCTGTGGTTTCTTTAGATGACTGAAACAGCTCCTGTGAAACATGCAACCATAGTGCAATCTATGACTTCTTAGCTTGAAATATTTGATGGAATTTGCTACAAAGTGAATATGCCTGCATAGTCTCAAAACAGCAATGCATACGTTGCATCACTGAGTTTCTTTAAAATAGAGTATGTCATTTCTAATATAAAAATATGTTTATTGGGTGAAATGGCATGTATATGAATCTAATTTTTAAATCATTGCCATCAGAAACGACAGCAGTTGCTTATAATATAGAAAGCAGCTGTGTTGCCTTGTGGATTTCAGTTCTCAAAGTGAAAAAAATATATGCAACAAAAACTCACTACATCAATAATAAAATATAACTAAAAATATCCAACACTGATTTTCGAAACTTATCTATCAAGAATCAGTTTGCAATTAAAAAAAAAAAAGAAAACACAAACAAACAAACAAAACAAAACAAAACCGAATATGAGAAAACCATAAACAAGCTTTGGGTAGAGATGATGAAGAATACTCACATAAAAAAAAAAAAAAAAAAAATTGTAAATCCCTAAAATAGAAGATTATAAATGTCAAATCTTTGGGTTAAATAAGAACTTTCGCTGACTGTTTTTGTGTTGATTCCTTGATTTACCCTTCTATTGATTTTCAAAACAGACAAAATGTAACTATAAATAATAAGTTAGAGAGTCATCCAACCTCTGGCATATAATTGGAGTTGCAGTCCTAAATGCCAAGAGGAGAAAGAAAGACTTTGTCAAGCACAGCTAAAGGTACAATATGAGAGGGAATTGCAAAGTGGAATGGTAAAAACTTTTCAACTCTTCAAACAGGTTTTATTTCCATGAAATAGACTCTACTAGGAACTGTGACATATGATCTTCTTTTTGTATGGCATGAAAAATACTAGTAAATACCCTTTCCATTTGAACCAATGTCTTTGGTGTCTTTTTCAGTCCATCTCTGGCCTGTGACCAGTGGTTAGACTTTAACAATTTGAATGGTATGTATGTATGCATGTGTGCATGTGCATGTCCACATATGGACATAGCATCCAGTGCCTTTTCAGTGAAGACTCAGGAACACTGGACTCATTTGAAATCATCTCTTGTATTACGATTTTGTACTCTGTCTAGGTGTCACCTCATTACAGATAGTTGTCTGTCTTTATCATTCCCTTGGCATCAGAGCATGTCAGCAATGATAAAATAGGTTTGCCATTATACCGCCACTTAGCTGTTAGTGTTATTCATTTCACAAGTGACACTTTCGCTGTTTCTTTTCAACGAAGTCATTCACCTGCTGCGAGCTTGACTTAGAAGTAAAAATGAATAATGCATTTCAGATTCAGTTCACATTAATATAGATCTGAGACATATTTAGTTATATAAAAAGAAGAGCTTTGATCTTGGCAGCAGTGAATTTTAAATGTTTATAAGTGTACGTTTTTCATGATCTGAGTTGTTACAGCACACATTTATATGTATATATGCACAGCTCTCTTTTCTCAGCTGACAATAACTTTCTATGTCCTTGCTCCTGATGGAACATTTCAGTATTAGGGAATCTCTTTACTTTTTTTGGTGCAGGTACTCTATTGTCCATGGCATGCATTTAAAAAGATTGTTCAGCATCAATGAACACAATGGAACAATCATTACAACTAAACCTCTGGACCGAGAGGTAACTTCTTGGCACAATATAACTGTTACAGCCACAGAAACAAGTGAGTAAGAAATTTAAGGAATACAGTGGTTTATAAACTGTGAACTGTAATTATCCCCTGAATATGCCTTCTTTTAAGTGGAGAATACATGCTTCTTTCTCATTACAGTACATTAAGGAGCATTATTAAAATAATTTGTTAAATCAAAGTTGGCTGCATTTGAGCTCTTTTCATAAAAGATGACCTTATTAAAAAACAAAAAAAAAAAAAAGGAAAATTGTAATAAGATTGAGACTGTAATGCTTTCAAGTTATACTGAGGCATATGAATTGCTTCTGCAGTGCAAGATCTTATGTTAAATTAGACCCTGGTTAATTTCACACCAGATCTTTTACTAGTGTGAAATTAGCTAGGATCTAATTTAACACCAATCAGAAACCTGTGGGTCTAAATAATTGTGAATGTAAGGTCCAAACCAGCTAGACTTCTATTCAATGACAATTAAAACTGTGAAGCATCCTTTATATAGATTTCACCTGTCAAGTTTTTCTTAAAGTCAAATGCAAATAGATGCTGTTTGTAGTTTTAGTGATCTGATTGCATTAACTCTGAGACAACAATCTAGAAAATGAACAACTACTGGTTTATAAGGCAGTTTAACATGTTTATTTGGATATTATTTGAAAACTAATCACATCCATCTTCAGGAAGGGGAGAAAACTTATGAAACTAGAGCCCAATCAATAAATCGGACAGGTTCTGCCAAATAGTTTTATCATGGTTTTTAATCCCAAATTTCAATTAAATTTTATTTATTACTAAGACTACTTTGAACACATACTTATAAATTGTTCCTAATTGTTCCTATAAAGGAGCATTCCCTGTTTATATGTAGAATATTACAGATAGAAGTTTAATATAGGAAGTTCAATAGCTGTTTTCATTGAAGTCTTTTATTGTTTTTAGGAATCAATAGCATTATCATCTTTTTCAGCTTCTCTGTGAATTTTTAAGCACGAATGTATTTTACTTCTCATGTTGTTGGGCAGCTGGCAGGTGTTTGTAAAATTGATCTCTGGCATATTTTTGTCATTTCTTGAATAGTGCTATGGAAACACAGCAGGATGACTTTGATCTGGACTATTCTGTTTAGTTAAACAATAAAATAGAAAAGACCTAAATGTTACAAATTAATAACTGTCTCCTGCAGCAAAAGAAAGTGAGTCTTTCACAGTAATGAAAGTTATTGTAGAGAAACCAAGCCCTCATTATCTTCATGTTTTTATTCATTATTTCTTTAATGATGATAAGGTCACTGTCTATAATACTATATTCAAAAGCATAGAAGTTAGGTCACCTTGGTAGGGGCATAACTGAAATGATTTATATTGTGAATAGCCTTTTATTCCTATAACTATATACTGTTTATGCAACATTTTGTGGATGACTTTGTTCCACTGAAACCAAATCTTCCCTAATTTCAACTGAAGGAGTCACTCTGCTTCACCTAAAATCATCATTAAATATTTATCAGACACTGATTCCAAGAGTGTGGGGTTTTTTTTGTAATGTGTTGCTTCCTCTCAAAAAAACAGGAATTTTTTCCTGTGATTTCAGGAAAATTTAAAACTTCCATACTGTTATCTTCCAACAGCAATGTGAGAAATGCCCTTCCTCATCATTCAATTATATGCTGAGGAAAAAAAAAAAAGCCCCAAATAACTGAAGCCAAAACAAAACAAAACAAAGACAAAAGAATAACCACATGATAACTGATATATAGTAAGGAAGTAGAAATGAGACTATAACCAAACATAAATAAAAAAGGTTTATTTGGTAAAACAGATGTGAATGGCAGCTTTAGGCTGAAAGGTGATATATAAATGTTTGTGCAAACAAATGGTAGGCTTTAAAGCCAATATAGTATCCATTAATCTTATGAACAAGCAATGCAGGAAGACACCAAGGTAGCTGAGTCCTTCCCATGTCACTTTGTCTATGACTGAAACCACCAAAGGTATTCCCTGCCTCCTAATAAGTGTTACAAAATTTTCTTCTCAATCCCAGTCCAGCCAAATATCTGCCCTAGATATCTGTTTCTGAATTAAGTAAAAGAGGTTGATTAAGTCCTGTGCTCTGTATTATTTTGAAAAGGGATGTGTACCACTTTTTGTGTTTTATTAAAAAAATAAGCCAAGCATTGTTTCATTGCCTATCATCTTATTATGGATGTTGGGATTCAACAAGAGAAATGTCATCCCACAGAGAAGTATTTTTGAGATGACTCAGGCAGATCATAAGCTTTAGTAAATTAGCACGGCTCTTATGATTGCACGTGAGGAATAGAAATGTGAAACTGCTGAGTAGCTAGCCCTTTATCTCTGTGGTAGTTGCTTTTGCTGCCATTTCCTTTGGCAAAAGACTCAAAGCTATCAACACAGATTCCATAAGATCCAAGAAAACAAATGTTTGCCCCAAGCAGCTAGTGAATTATACATTAAAAAAGCCAAGTAGGAACCAACCAAACCCATACAGTTTGAAGTGAGACAGAAAGGAATAAATGTTGCAGTGAAGCTTCTTGCCTACTAGAGTAATAAATTACATCTTGGGGAAGGCAGACATTTCTCAGTGCTATGCCATGTAAATGAGGATTTGATGTGCTGACAGGAAAAAGGATTTCTGAAAAGTATTCAGTATAGAATCATGGAATTATTTAGGTTGGACAAAACCTTTAAGATCATAGAGTCCAACCATTAACCATTGTTGCCCTTCTCTGGACCCACTCCAGCAACTCAGTATCTCTTCTAGTGAGGCATCCAGAACTGAACACAGTTGGAGGTGTAGCCTCACTAGTACTAAGTACAAGGGGATGATCACTTCCCCAGTCCTGCTGGCCACACTAGTTCTGATATAAGATGGGACAATATTGACCTTCTTGGCCATCTGGACACACTGATAGCTCATGTTCAGGCTGCTGTCTATCAACACCTCCAGATCCTTTTCTGCCAAACAGCTTTTCAGCCATTCTTCCCTAAGCCTGTAACTTTGCATAGGGTTGCTGTAACCCAGATGCAGGACGCAGCTCTTTGCCCTGTTGAACCTCACACCACGGGCCACAGCCCATCAATCCAGCCTGTCCAGATCCCTCTGTAGAGCCTTCCTACCCTCCAGCAGATCAACACTCCCTCCAGCTTGGTGTTGTCTTTAAACTTATTGAGGGTGCACTAGGTCCTTTTGTCCAGATCATTGATAAAGATATTAAAGAGAACTGGCCCCAAAACTGAGCCCTGGGGAACACCAGTTGCAACCAGCCACCAGCTGGGCTTAAATCCATTCACCACAACTCTTTGGGCCTGGTCATCCAGCAAGATTTTACCCAGCAAAGAATATGTCTGTCCAAAACGTGCAACCAGTTTGTCCAGGAGAGTGATGGACCTCCATGTCTTCCTTCCCTGGGTATTAGGTGACATATTTCTAAGCATTTTTGTTACATAAACAAGTAAGTTTATGTTTAAGTAAGATGCCCTATGTTTAAGTAAGGCACCCTAGTCTATACTCAACTCCTGCACCATGAAACTAGTAAAGTTAAGCTTTTAATTGTCTGAGGTACTTAGAGCACTACACCCTGTGTAAATGCAGTACTTGCAGGAAAAAAGTGCCTTATATTAGCAGTTTATTTTTGTTTACATAAAAGAATAAGCCATATTGACATAGATTTTATATCTAAAGCCACATTAATAAACTATACTTGGATAACAGAAGCAGTACAGCTTTCATAATACAAAATATCTAATAATTAAACCTGCTATGTAAATAATACTTTGAGCAAAAACAAAAGCTGAGCTTATTAAGTCAGTCAGCATGGCAATTTCTCCATGTGCAGCAGTGGCAGAAATATTTTTAAAGCATGTGAATTCTGGTGAAACCTTCTCCCAATGCTTCAAAATTACAAAATAGTAAAAAAGAAGAGTGACAGAATACATTTAAGAATTGTAAAATTTTCTAACGTCCACATTACTTTAAAATATGAAGTAAATTATTTGTGACTTTTGATTTCTTTTTTTAACCTTTAGGAAATCCTGAAAAAATTTCAGAAGCAAATGTGTATATCCAAGTTCTTGACATTAATGATCATGCACCGGAATTCCCTAAATATTATGAAACGTTTGTTTGTGAAAATGCAGTTTCTGGCCAGGTAAGTGTGAAGGAGTTAACCATCAGTTTCTTCATTACAATAAAGATTTGTTCTGTGATGCTACTATTCAGTATTGATCATTTCAGTACTGCACATACAGACCGTATTTTGTCTGTTTCCAAAGTTAGTTCTGTTTATACATGTATAGTTTGCAATTTTAATTTCAGAAGACTGACGTTAACTTTTCCCACTTTAAAACAAAATCATCACATCCTGTCTGCCTGCAAAAACAGGTAATAGAGCAGTACAGACAGAAAACTCTGAAAAAACAAACAAACAAAAAAGCATAAGACACAGATTTGCTTCCAGTTAGTGTCACAGGTGTAAAACCTCGGCCTAGTATTTTCAGCAACAGCATAACATAGTCTGGAAGAACCAAACTAAGACTAGTTTCATACCAGATACTCGTTTATTGTGAATTGATGTTTCATTTATAGCCCATGTAACAGCTTCACTAGCTGTCAGCTTAAGAGATTGTTGTATTAAGCATCCTTCCCTGTAGGATTTTTCCATTTCCTACTCATCAGCATGGGAATGCTGTAACATCAGTCAGTTGCCTCAACCTCCCCCTAGATACACTGTTGACTCCAACAGTCGTTTGTTTTTTTGGGGGGGGTTGGTTGTTGTTTTTTTTGTTTGTTTTGTTTTGTTTTGGGGGGTAGAGGGTTTTTGTTTTGTTTGTTTGTTTTATTTGTATTTTTTATTTTAAAGCTACAAAATGAAAAACGAAAAAAGCAACAGGAAAAAGCTATAGACAGAAAAATGCATGTTTTTTCATGACATGCTTTAGCATTACTTGGACATATCAAAAAGTCCTTTGGGGGTATCTGTGATGGCTAATTTCAAATGTTTTACTATGTTTTGATTTCTGAATCACAAAGCCTCTCTTTTTACTGCAGCTTGGTTTACTTTGACTTTAGTCTGCAGTTAAATAAAGCTTTCCCTGTTGCTAAAGTAATTTCTTCATGGATTTTTGCATCTGCTCATGCTTTTGTATAAGCAGTTGATTTGTTCATTCTGCATTTGGTAATTTTCACTCTGCAAAAGCGACCTCTTGTTCAGAGGTCCTTGGAACAAGACATTTCTTTTGGACTTTGGGTAACTCATTGACAAATCAAGCACAGGCATTAAAGCAAATGCTGCTTCATGTTCCTTGTCTTTAAGACACCATGAATTAAATATGGAAGCTTATAAAATGAATATTTGTAACCCATGTTTTGGACTTGCCTATAATATAAAAAACCCAGGAGATTTATTTCCCAAAGTTTTTATTATTTTGTCATTGCTCACTAACAAATAGCATCTGTGTGCAAACCCATTATTTGTTACTTTTCAATAATAATTAAGTATTTGTATTCTGTGTATTTTGAGAATCACTGGAAAAAATGGCACTGTGAAAAGTAGCAATAATAATAATAGTAGTAGTAATAATAATAATAATAGTAATAGTAATAATAATAATAGTAATAATAATAATAATCTCTTTGAGCATAAGATACAGAATTCTGCCTCTTTAACATTGTTTAACATTATCATTGAGCATGATAATTTTCCCCATTTTACAGACAGGTAAAATGTCAATCTAATTTATTTATTCCTTTTTTAATTGCTATAGCTTTTTGAAAGTCATAAGCATCTTTAGTTTAGCTTTTAGAGAACAAAACAAGAATGCTAAATAATCTTATTAACAAGTGATCTTAGGAAGAACATCAGGAAATTGTTACTGAAATACATAATCATCACAGTCAGAGTTTATGATTTTTTTCAATGTTTATGATTTGAAACAGAATTGATGATAGTTTATCTCCTTCAGTGCTATTATTTTTCTTTTTATTTTTTACTCACAGAAAAAAGATTCTTTATTATTATACCCAAAACAAAAAGGATTATATTTCAGTCTGTGGGACTATAATCTGAAATTTGACAATAAAAATGGATGTAAAGAAGATAGATAGATGGGTTTTGGCATAATTTTAAATCTACTCATCATGTTTATTAGAAATTTTGAATGAATTTTTCACTATCCATTTCATGTTAAAGTTCTGTACTGTCCTATAATCGAAAAGTCAGCTGTGTACTAACCACAGCTAAAGTTTTATTTTGAATATTTCAAAACCACTTTCACTTCACTACCAGTATTAAATACACTATTTTCAAAATTACTTGAACATGAAAGTTCCTATGTAAAATAGACTTCTATCCTAGTTCAGCTATAGCTAGTAACAGAACAAGTAGAATCATAGAATCATAGAATAGATAGGATTGGAAAGGACCTTAAGATCATCAAGTTCCAAACCCCCTGCCGTGGGCAGGGACACCTCACGCTAAATCATATCACCCAAGGCCTCGTTCAACCTGGTCCTCCACCAGGGACGGAGCATTCACAACCTCCCTGGGCAACCTATTCCAGTGCCTTACCACCCTAACAGGAAAGAATTTCCTCCTTATATCCAATCTAAACTTCCCCTGTTTCAGTTTTAACCCATTACCTCTTATCCTATCACTACAGTCTCTAATGAAGAGTCCCTCCCCAGCATTCCTATAGGCCCCCTTCAGATACTGGAAGGCTGCTATTAGGTCTCCACGCCTTCTCTTCTCCAAGCTCAACAGCCCCAGCTTCCTCAGCCTGTCTTCATACGGGAGGTGCTCCAGCCCCATGATCATTCTCGTGGCCCTCCTCTGGACTTGTTCCAACAGTTCCATGTCCTTTTTATGTTGAGGACACCAGAACTGCACACAATACTCCAGGTGAGGTCTCACGAGAGCAGAGTAGAGGGGCAGCATCACCTCATTCTACCTCCTGGTCACGCTACTTTTGATGCAGCTCAGGATACAGTTGGCTTTCTGGGCTGCAAGCGCACACTGCCGGCTCATGTTCATTTTCTCATCAACCAACATCCCCAAGTCCTTCTCCGCAGGGCTGCTCTGCATCTCTTCTCTGCCCAACCTGTAGCTGTGTCTGGGATTGCTCCAACTCAGGTGTAGGACCTTGCACTTGGCATGGTTAAACTTCATGAGGTTGGCATCAGCCCACCTCACAAGTATGTCAAGGTCCCTCTGGATGGCATTCCTTCCCTCCAGCGTATCAACCGAACCACAGAGCTTGGTGTCATCGGCAAACTTGTTTAGGGCGCACTCAATCCCACTGTCCATGTCAGTGACGAAGATGTAGAACAAGACCAGTCCCAACTCCGATCCCTGAGGGACACCACTTTTTACTGGTCTCCAGCCGGATATTGAGCCATTGATGACAACTCTTTTTGTGCGGCCATCCAGCCAGTTCTTTATCCACCAAGTGGTCCATCCATCAAATTGATGTCTTTTCAATTTAGAGACAAGGATGTCATGTGGGATAGAACAATATTAAAAAGACATCTGAACCCCTGATAACCTTTTGATCAGATCTTTTGACTTTATAAATGTAGGCATGGTAAGTGATCACCACAATGAGGTATTAATTCTTTATAGTTATCCTTTGGGTGTGTGTACGGTAACTACAAACTGTTGAATTCTAGAGGAAACGTTCGGTAAAAATAGCCAGAACATAAAATGGACCAAATTTGTCCCAAAGGTGACAGTAGAGACATCTCAGCAAAAATGGGTTTGACCCAGAAAGCTTAAATACCAAGGCATTAATAAATTAACTAAGCCTAAAAGTGAAGCTTGAAAGTTCAACATAAACTACATCAAATATCTTTTATGCATAAGCAGGCTGACCCTCCAGAACGTACGCATTTATATGCATGGTAATTTCGCCCTTTTATGGATATTGGTCTTTCTTCATATCATGCAGTAAATAGATTTCAGCTGAAGACAAGCTGTACTGAACACATCTACATTCTGAATTACTGCTGTCTTCTCTAATGCATATTTGTTCTGGCAATTTTAAGTTCCTGCAATTTGGAGATCACATATAAAGTGACTTTGATGTTCCAGCTTGCTTAGTGATTTTTATTAGATCCAAAGAAGTGACTGTATATGCAGAGCACTTTGAATTAAAGAAAAGAAAAAAAAACAGATTTATTTATTCAGTTCTTGGCACATAATAAAAGAATCAGGAGTTACAGTGCAAGTGAAGAGTACTTGTTTGATATTACTTTTTAACATAATGAAATGTTGACATGAGAAAAGGGGAAATCTTTAAGCAAATTCTAGGGGTTTATATTTAATGTTAAAAATGAGCAGTTAGCCGAAACAGATCCTTCCTAGCAAATCATGATATAAAATTATTTTTGTTAGCAGAAAAGAGAAAGGGATAGGTTAGTAAACCGAGGTTTATTATTTCCTTTTGTTTTGTTTTTTTTTTTATCATTTAAAAAACTGATCTTATTAGTAGTGATAAGAAAATGTAAAGTTAAAAGGAAAAAGAAACAACAACAATGAGGACACTAGTTAGAGTATAAAACCATAGCCAAGCTGTGAAAACACCATATATTCCAGCAGGCCCTTACCCTAAACTACACCTGTAGATGAAATGAATGTAACGTCTGACATTCTGAAACAGTGGGAAGAGTGGCATATGGAAAATTCCTCTTTCTGCTTTATATGGACCATGATTCAACAACATTATCTCATGGTAGACTGGAACAGGTGGGAAGAGTTTATCAGCATATACAAGCATAAAAAGGCACCTCAGCGTCATGATGCCATGGTATAAATCAGAACACATGGCATGAGCTTTGTAATTATTATTCCTTTGCTGAGATCTGCATCATTTTAGTTACAGTTGAGAAGAAACTCTTCACAGTAGACCGAGAGAAATCAGATCAATATTATGCCAATTTGCTTTAAGTAAAAGAAAATTGGTAACCATCAAAAAGACAGCCTTGGTCTTGAGGTGGAAGGTCTACCTAGAAAATGCAGCTAGTGACTATAGTGGACTATAGTCTTTTACCTACACTAAACTCTGATATTCATTAAACATTATTGAGCAATGACAAAGAACCTACTACTTAAAAAGGCTCTGTCAGTTTGAAGAAAACCAGTTCTTTACTTCCCAAACAGGTGGATGATCAGATCTCTTACATCCTATAAACTACAACAGAGATGCTCTTGAAGGACACAGAAGAAAGCAAAACAAAAGAAACTAGAGAGGTATCAAATCTGTTCCTACTTCCATCTGTTTAATGGGAATGCTAAGACTATATTTGGATATGGAAACACAAAGGACCCCAAATTATACACTCTACCATCAAAATTAACGCTAGTGATGGCTGTGCAGATGGACATCTCCATAATTAAAAGTCAGTGAGACCACTTGGAATTGAGGAAATTGATTTTCAGTGTATTTTCATCGACTATCAAGCTGACATCTACTCAATACCTTGTTATTTGTAAAACAAATAACACGCAGCTATACATTCAGTCCAGAAGTGTTTACACAAAATCAATGGGAGATCAGAGTTGTTACTGGTATCTTAGGCTCCTTCACTAATGATATTTATTAGTTGAAAGTGACCACTAATCAGATGGATGACGAAGATGAGTATAACCGGCCACATCTTTTTGTGATCTTTGATCAAAGTAACCCTTGCTGTTCCCAGCAGTGATCTCAGTGTATTTAGAAAGAAATAGTAAATGAGACCCACCTCTATGAACTTAAATCAGTTTTTCAAGAAAAATCAAGTTAATGAATCTGAATTTTAAAGAAACGTATATTTTCAAATGGACTGCTGGATTATTAAAGCTCCTAGATTAATGAGATTTGAAATAAGAGATTTTACAGTAATTAAATTTCAGCATAGTCAATACAACAACTGATAAAACCTTGCAAAGGCAACACATCATTCATTCTATTTTCTTTGTTTGCACATTAAATGTAGGGTATTTTTAAACCTTGACTCACAAACAGTAAATGCAGTTCTTCAGTCTGTGATGCCTGCTTCCCTGGTGAAAGGCCAAAGCCTCATAGTTTATACGTGAAAAAGCCTAGGAAAGCAGGAAAAAAAAAAAAATCCCTTCTCTCTGGGTGACTTTTTCTTTATAGTCAGCAAAATCAGAGCTGTCTATTGCTCTCTGAATATTTCATAGACTCATCTGGGTTTTGCTGAATCTTAGTGGAAGTGATATAATGAAAAATAAACAATAAGGGTTTGCCCTGTTCTTATGTTCCAGATATTCTCCTGCTTGTAAGGTGAATCCTTAAAGGCATGTGAGTATGTCTAGAATAATCTCAAGTCTTAGGTTTGTGTTGACTAACAGCATAGTACAGATCATAAAAAAGGGAAGTGGGTGATTCTTTCATCTAGCCAGATACTCCTCAGAATTTTAGTGATTGGATTAGATATACATAGAATTTATGGATGCATATACCTTCTGTATGTAATCTAGTGAAAGTTACTAATGAAATAAAATGGTAACTGTCACAACTGTAATAATTTTATGATATTCAAACATGAGAGGCTCCTAAAAATATACTTTTTAAAGACATTGTTACTATCTGATTGAATAACTATTAATGTGAATGAAAACTAGAAGTTTAATTAATGCTTCTGGTTTGGTTTGGTTTGTTCCTTTGGTAAGTGAGTAGGTAATTCTTCTCTACCAAGTAACTCAACTGGAAACAAAGCAAAACAAATAAAATTAAATGTGGCTAATATGTCTGTGTTGATTGCTGTATTACTCTTCATCTTCAGTCTAGCCTGACACACTGAATTGTATGGACAGACATACATAGCTTTTTCTCAGCTACAGCCTTGGAGAGGTTACCAGAAAATTATTAACAAAGGCCAATAAAGTTTAGTTGGGGGTTTGTTTGTTTTGTAGGTTTGGCTTGTTGTGTTTGTTTTTTTTTTCTTTTTTAATTTGTGAGGTATATGTCAGAATATTATCATGAAAATGTGCCATTGTTCAGGTTTTAGACTGGCTATGTAGCTCCCTTCTGCTGATCGTATTGAACATGTTCTGGGAAATATAACCCCTTAGAAAAAATTAAGCCCATAGTTTACTATCAAGGTAATATTAGTGTTCAGTTATGGCTTTTCACTGATTTCTTGATCTGCATGCCTATACATGCATTTGTATTGCTTTAGTAATTTTTTTTTTTTTTTTCCTCTGAGGAAAGGGAAAAAAATTTCCTCAAGACGCTTTATCGTTTTTACATTGGCACCAGGCACATGCCTGATCACTCCTCTGATTAGTGGCAATAAAAAAAATCTCAAGCGTCCTCACTTTTCCACAGAATGAAAACACAAACTTGAAGTAAATTTCATATAAAAAGGGAACAGCACTAAGAATACAAAGCTTCTGGGATGCAAGACACATTTTACACTCTGCTGTGATGATTTCATCAAACTTAGCTTGCTTGAAAAGAAAAAGAATATGTGCTGAAGTCTTAGATCTCTGAAAAAATGGTTTAATCAGGAAAGACTTTTCAAAGACACATAGAAAGCTATAGCCACTTCCACTGACTGACTGGTTTGCTTTTAGAGCACTGCTTCTAGCATTCATATGCTTTCGGGTTTGGGTAAAGTTGAGGCTCCAAGTCTTTTGGTTGTAAATATCTACAAGACACAGATAATTGGTAAAATAGAGTCAAGTTCAAATTGGGCAGTAGCTTTTTTGAAAGTTGGTGGTCTTGCCTCAGTTTGCATTCTTTCTGATCAGCAAGGATACTGACTTATTAATCTATGTTGATGGTTAGGTCATTTAATATTTATTGATAAAAATAACATAAGCTCCCTTTAAGCAGAAATATTTCTGTTAACTGTAATGTGGTTGTTTATGGACATGAAAGATATTATTTTGAATCATAACTGTTGGGTTTTATTTTATCTTGCAGTGACTAACTGATTTGACATATTTGTAAATGAAGGTTATTTTGCTATCTTGTAAAAAAGCAGTCAAGAAGTTCCATAATCAAGATGTTATAATATTCAGAATGAACAATTCAGCAGATGAATTTATCACCCTATCTCACTTACTGGAACTATAATACATCAGTTGAATGATGTCAATATATTTGGGGGCTAGAAGGAAATAGGTTTTGTATAGAGGGATTTGTTCAAATGTAGAACTATATACTTTTCACCTTGGAAAAAAAAAAGGACAAAACACTGAATATATAATTACTTTTTCATTAATGGAAATGGTCTTTTTATCCAGAAAATCTTTTACATTTTCTCAAGATTTTAATGCCTGCCTCTCTCAAATAGATGAAAACTCAAAGCAGAGCATTTGCAGAATGCAAGTCTCAATAGCCTGTTTGGGCATAGAAGGCATATATTTGTGAGTGCATACCATGCACTCAATGCATATGCACAGATCACTTCTCTGGCATTAACAGTTTAACATACCTGTCATGTACTTTTATTGTTTTAAAAGACAAGTAAATACTTTTATTCTTAAATAATTTTATCTGTTTCCAGCTACTTCAGAGCATCAGTGCAGTGGATCAAGATGACTCAGCAGAAGGTCACCATTTTAACTTCTCATTGGCTCAGGAGGTCACAAACAACTCACTTTTTACTGTCAAAGATAATCAAGGTAGCGTCATTCATGTAGCTCTTTAAGGCCTTCCTAAAGAAGACCATGCTTCTAGTGGTCCTCACATCACTAGTTTTATAATCTCTACTTAATAGAAATTGTCATTATAAATTATAAACATTACAAAACAATAAATCAATAGTACCAAACAGTTTAGTTTCCTTTTTCAGATGAGTAACACAAAAAGTCAGCTTTATTTCAAAGAAAGAAAAAATTTTGAGATGAAAAATACATTGGCATTCCTTAAAATTAATTTTCTTAGTGTTGCATGTGGTGGAAAATACCAGCTTTCTAGATAAATTATCTATTTGTCCAAGAAACAACGTTGACAGAAAGAGATCGCTGTTAGTATGTCTGTTAATTCACCACTTCATCAAGACCAAAATTCTAAAAACAAATAAGAATGGAATATTATTTCCTCATACATTTTAAACTGCATATGCTGATTACTGATGACATCATATGAATGTATTCTGTATATATTTTAATATTATTCAGAACCAATAGGATTGGGACTGTTCTTAAAAGAGTGGTAAAGAGACGTATCAAGCAAAACCAGTCTGCAGTGAAGAGTGCTATATGTGATGAAAATTCAGGGAAGATGAACACTTAAAGTCAGTCTACTGAGACTACAAAGACGAGCTTCTTCAGCCTCAGCTGAAGTACACATTGTTCTTACTGACTTCATTAATTATTTGAACATTCTAGTTAGGTGAATAAATCAATGGAAAAAAGTTTTTGAAAGTTCAGACTATATTAAATGGTGAGCCACTCTCAATATTGTCAAAGTTAGTCAATGTATTAATATGTATTTCAATTCCCAGCTTCACTAACTTCTTAGTGCCAAGAAGAGATTATATTAAGGTCAAATTGTGTACAAGCCGCAAGCCTTTTCCATCTTTGCTCATTCTGCGCAAAGCCTGAGCAGAGCCACATATAAGGCCATATATCCAATTCCTTTTGGTGGCTATTGATGGGGGAAAATTATCTTTTAAAATATGGTATCAACAGCTTTCAATCTCCCTTGTTCCACTGCGTTTCTTACAAATAACAACATGAATTAAGATAGTCCTAGGCAAAAGGAAAACTGACTCTACAGATCTGGAGCATTTTATCTTACAGTTACTTTCTGAGCTATGACAGAAACCTAGAAGAACTTAAATGTGAGGGGTTAGCTTTAGTAGACTTTTTTTATAAATGCATTATTTATATAATGGTAGAAATACTTTTTCAATTTTCTATGTACGTGTCTGCACACATGCAGTAATTCACCATTTCATGATAAAACAGTTCTGACATGTAAATATTTACAGATTCTACTTTCTATTATACATATAGGGTTAATTTGTTTTAAACAGGCTAAGTTTCAGATCTGAGTTGATATGCAAGAGAAACTGAACTTAGCATTTCTTGTACAGAACTGATATCTAAAAACTAATAGATATAAAGCAAGATAAAAACCTCTGCTAACTTTTCACTAATTTAGATGGTAGGAGCTCAGCTAGTTCCAATTCTTGAGTCAGGGAAGGAAATAAAATACTAAATTAGTGGATTTTTTTCTTGCTTTCTCCTCTTTCCCTTGCCACCTGCTTGCTCTGTGTGCTGCCAGACACATTTTTGAAGCTTTTTGATTGGTAAACTGTCTATAATTTGTCTGTGAACTGCTGGATTGGTAGCAGCTGGTTATATGGAACCATTTTAAGAACCAATTAATTAGTCTGGGCAGGTGTCAGGTACTGAACACAGTAGGATTTTTTTTTTTAGCTCTGAACATTAAAATCAGCTCCTAGGTTAATTTTTTTATTGCCCCTGGAATACATGTGTCAAAATTAAAAGAAATTTATTCATGATTGACACAGAAAACCTACCACAGGTCAGTGCCTGGTTTACTTTTTTAGCTTTATGAAGATGTAGCTTTGGACAGCATCATTGTTTTTAAATAGGTCAGATTCCACTGGAGTTTTACAGTTGTTGTTAGAAAGTGACGAATGCATATAATGCATAATCATTTATCTTCTAGATAACACAGCTGGAATTTTCACAGCAAAAAGTGGCTTCAGGAGGCAAGAACAGTTTTTTTACTACTTGCCGATCTTAATTCTGGATAATGGAACCCCACCACTGACAAGCACAAATACTCTCACTGTTACTGTCTGTGACTGTGACACCAAAGTTAATACCTTCTACTGTCGATATGGAGCTTTCATGTACTCCATGGGTCTCAGCACTGAAGCTTTAGTTGCTGTTTTGGCTTGCATATTGATACTCCTAGGTATGTATGATTAAGACAAATTAATTTATTTCCTTCAACAGTGGGCTTAGTTAAGTGACAAAGATGTTCCCATTCCCTTTACTGGAAGGCAGGAAGTACTGTGCTATTTAGACAATATTTAGGTAAAAAAATGCAGTAAGGCAAATGTTTAATTTATATTCTGTTTTCTTAACTATAATTCTCTCTCCCCTCTCCCTTCCCCTCTCCCTTCCCCTCTCCCCCCTCCATTTGAATTCTAACACAATGTCCTTAAAGTTGCTTCTAATTGAGTAATGGTCCTACCTAGTCCTCCAGCATTGATAATAATAAAGATTTGAGAGTCCAAAATCCATGTTGTGCCCAAGTAAAGCTGAAGACAGCATTAAATAAGAAAATTGGCTAGTATAAGTATATATTATAAAGAAGTAGCAACCTACTCATTCTGCCTTAGGTATGCCAAATATAGAGCTGAGATCAATAAAAAATAATAAAGGAAAAATAGGATATTATACTCTCTAAATAAACTAAATAACTAAATAAACAAGCATGGAGTTTCTTTGTCAATTAGTACGGTCGCATCTCCAGATAACCTTTTCTCCAAATGTTGGACATCTTTTTCTTCTTAGGAGACACCATATTAACCTCCATTACATTTGGGACCTTGTGGATGTGTAAAGGGGGTTTGAGAGCAATTTAAATGCACAGGAGTTGTGCTTGTGCCTTTTCAAAGGGTTATGCATATCTGATAAATGATGCTTAAAAACCAGAGCAAGCTCCTAAGGCCCCCCTGCACTGCATGGGGCTATGGCTGTTACAAGGCATACTGAAGTGACAGCACTCAAGAAACTGCTTCTTCACCTGGAGAAGACTGCTATCACTGCTACAATGTACAATGCGTGTGCCTTTTCTTCAGTAAAAGGATATACCTGCAGCATTCAGTGACTGACACATTATAACAGCAGGCACACTGAACTAGTCATTCCCTAAACGTTAAATATCCATCCTGAAACTCTGTACGTGTCTGAGTTAGGGAGGCTAAGGTATGGTAGCTTCTGAAGCCAGGAAGGAAAGAGAAGGGATAGAGATGGGTAGATTGTTTGGTTTTTTTTCCAAGGCAAAATGACTGACCTTAGATAGTGATCATGGGCTTCAAGACCAAATTCAAGTTGATGCCAATAAAGATACAGAAAAAGACTTCTAAATCTCTGCTGTTTAATATGACAGACCCATATTATGCCATATAGCTGTATGCATCATAAAATGCCATATCCAAAAATGCCCCAAAACAACTGCAAGATTATGTAGTTATACATTATATAATATAACCTCTACTGCCTATAAATAACAGCGTGCAACAAGAATCATACATACCATCATTAACTACAAGAAAAAGATGAAGGTTGAAACTGAAGGTTTGCAGCTCTATTCCAATGCTGTATTTTGATCTGTCATAGTAACAACAGAAGATAAGAAAGTCAAGTCAAATAGAATTAATGGAATTATTTTGAGCATTTAGAAAGTTTTTTAAATCACAATATTATGAATTCTGTCCAGAGAGTTACAGCTTATTTTCCTTAGCATAAGAATAGAAACTGGCTCTAATTATTTCCTGTTGGTACCTTTGACCTCTTTACTGAATCTCTTGTTGATAACTCTCTGATATTTTTCCTAAAATGAAAGTCCATAATTTAGTCCCACAGTTAAATAAGTTACCCAGAAGCAGCATGCTTACCTGTTAATTATGAGTCAGCATCTTCCTACAGCTTTGAACTCTCAGGATAATGTGACAAGCAGGAAACTGCAGAAACAGCATGGCTTACAAAAAAATATATGTGTTTTTATTTATCCCTATGAGCACATTGAATATATACTGCAAAGATGAAAACAATGGAGGAGCAACTCATATTTATTCTGTCTAGATGTGAATACTTTTGGAAAGACGCTAGCCATTTTTTGACTGCATAGCAAAGTCCAGGAATGCACTGTTCTCCTTCCATCTCCTGGTTTCAAACAGAGAAACCAGGAACATACTTGTGAATTTCTAGTTTCTAGACTTGCCTGTACTGCCAGAGTTACCTTATTTAAATTTGAGCTTTCTTTGTCCCAGGCAATCTTCAGAAGCAGCACTGGAAAACAGTCCCCCTGACTGAAATCCTGCCTTAAACCTTGTAGTCAGTGTGAGCTTACAGGCAGGCCAGTGTGCATTTCAGGTTTTCTTTGATTGTTGCAGGGTATCTGAACCTGGTCACTTTGTGTTATGCACTAAAGGGACTGAGGATCAGGCAGACTATATCACTGCATTACACAGACCATCAGTGGAATTATTCATCAAGGGCTTCTAGGTTGCTTGCAGAGAGGTCCTTTCTCCAGCTGGAATAAACTCTTGGTGTCTACTGGGCCTATGGATATCACAAAAGTCAAAGCAGGGATATAGGTAAACATATTAATCAGAAAGAAACAAATAACTAACCTACTATACTCTTTACAGACACAAATATTTTAAATGCATTAAATCTTCCACAGTATTTTTGTAATTACTTAAAATTAGATAATAGGAGTTTCTATAGATAGTGGTTTTATAATGTTTCCCACTTATATCTGGAACCTAAAGTTTCAGATTTTTCCATTTTCCTGTATCATCATGCTTACCATTAGAAGAGTTCACCATGCAAAGGGGTTGAAGAGTTGAAACTATATCTTGTAAATATAGAATAGCACTGCAAAATTTTTGTTTCAAATGCTTTCAAGTTTTGTGTGAGTATATCACAACCAAATGAAATAGTATACAGTAAATATGCAGAAATAAAGTCCTACTTCAGGTATCGCATAGCCCTGTGTAAGGTAAAGTCCTGTCATTGTTGGTAATTGTATCATGTTATGTCCTGAGTAAAAAAATACAATCCACAAACTCCTTATTAAATAAAGCTGCATTCAAATTTAGTTAAAAACTGAAATAATTAATCTCTGTGGAAGTCACAGACTATTTCAAAGGATCATTCAGCTGAAAATGGAATGAGGTAAGATTAGGAAATAATGCATTAAAATGAGATTTTAAAAAAACTTTCATATAAGAGAGAAACAAGGTGCTCTGATTCATAGGCCTTGCAAGTAAGTACTGTTACAATGTCATGTAACATATAGTTTCCAAATATCCTAACCAGCATACCAAAAATAATTGAACAACACCCTGCATAGTCTATAGAATGGAATGAATCAATCAACTGAGGAGGATATCTTGCTTATTGCCTCAGTTTTCATTTGATCTCCCTAGGCTTTGATCTGAGACAGAGTGAGAGATTAAGAATTTAAATTTTGAATATTAAGTTGATATATTTTGTGAAAAACCAAGAGTTTCAAAAAATATAACCTATATTTACATCAGTTTCAAACTCATCTGTACCAAAAGAACTGTTCCATTTCATTTACCTATTTTATAAGTCCTTTTAGCTATTTTCCTAGCACATATTCTGCTCATCTTTAAACAATAAAATTCATAAAAATTACAGCTCTATAAATTTGTTAATATTTATAATATGTAATATGTATAATATGTTCATATGTAGGTTAGTGTATGATAGCAGTGATATTAAGAAACATTAAAATTTTTAATTCTTTCTAAGCACATTCAAAATTTCTGGGTCTATTTTCTGTTTATTTTTTCCATTGTGCTTTTTGGTTTTGCATTTTTTTTTTTTTTTTTGTCAGTGTTCTTTTTGGCCATTCTAGCCATAAGGCAGCAGAGGAAGAAGTCTCCCTTTTCAGAGAAAATTGAAGAAGTCAGAGAGAACATTGTCAGATATGACGATGAAGGAGGTGGCGAGGAGGACACAGAAGCCTTTGATATTTCAGCACTGAGGACCCGCACTGTCATTAGAACGCATAAACCTCGGAAGAAGGTTACCACAGAAATCCACAGCCTCTACAGACAGTCTCTGCAGGTTGGCCCTGGCAGTGCTATCTTCAGGCAATTCATCTCAGAGAAGCTTGAAGAAGCGAATACAGATCTCAGTGTTCCCCCATATGACTCACTTCAGACCTATGCATTTGAGGGGACTGGCTCTTTGGCAGGATCCCTCAGCTCTTTAGATTTGAACATGTCAGATGCAGATCAGAGTTATGACTACCTTAGAGAGTGGGGACCTCACTTTAAAAATCTTGCAGTCATGTATGCTTCCCATAGAAGTGTGGGGGATTAGTTACTCTTTCATTTGTTGCTTTGTTTTCCTAAATCTCAGCAACCAAAATAATAGTGGATTTTTAAAAAGAAGATCATCCCACATTTAAGCATGAAAATAAATGCCCAAATGTTCTTCCTGGAAAGTCTTGGATGTAGAGATCTTTTTGAAAATCACACCAGGCATCTCTTGAGGTGAGGGTATGGAGACTCACATTTGAAAATCTCAAGGCTATTTAGGTGACTGAATGTAAACTGTGCAGCTATCTAGATGGATATCTAGACTCCATTCTGGATACTGAAAAATAATGGACCCTGGAAGTGCAAAAGGAGTAGAAGCCATACATAGATATTGTAAATATTCTGTCATGCACAAGCTTTAAACTGTTTCCAAAGTTAAGACAGATTTTTGCTGTTGCACTTGAATATATTAACCAAAGTTAAACATGTGTATTTATATAATGCTTCATTATATAAATATAATTCTGTGAAAAAATAGACCCTAGATATTCTAACACCATTATCAGAATTGCTCACAGAATCGCCTATTGTTCTTAAGATGATAAAACTAAAACAAATGTGTTTTCCTATAGTGTAAAAATAAAGACCTATTACAACATCAGCAAGTGTTTGCTGCCATTTTAGTTTTAATGGAACTATTGCAAAATGCATAAACCAATACTTAATTTAGCAAATAAGATAGAAAAAACAAAACCAGTTCAAGTTAAAATCAATACTCAACCTAAATACTACAATCAACCACATTATATGTTACTGTACTTAGTAAAAAATGTTTTCAAAATACAGGCTTTTTTTCCTTTTACTAAGAGTTTAAAGGATGACAGATTTACCAGCACAGATTTACTTTTTATTATGGAATAAAAAATTATCTGCAGTAGCCAGTTTTATTATAACAATATTAAGAATCTTTAAAATGCTAAGCTGATAGTTATAAAACTTTATGTATAACTTTAGATAATAAGATAATAAAATGCCTTAATGTTAATCCACTTTTGAAAATGGCCATTCTGCAGGACTTAAATCTGACTTCAAAATTAATTTCCCACTGTATTTTTTCCAACCATTCCATAATGAATACAAAGCTGTCTCAGAATAATTCTTTACCCTTAATTATATTACAACCCAGCAGCAATTTTAGATCCAAGGTCATCAAATATGTTCAAAATTGTTTGCCCGGAAAAAGCAACCTCCCTATTTTTTATTTACCTCTCTTCCATGATGTACTTATTTTAAAGAAATTTCATCATGTAATCAACCGATACTTTTCCACAGGTAAAAGCTGGCATCAGGATGAAGAAAATGATTAAATATGTTTCTCTTCCCCCTTCCCTGCAATGTTTGTTACAGCTGCTTGTCACTGGAGAAAACCAGGGCACATAGGCTTAGTGGAAATGTAGCAGTGCAGAGTTTAAATTTCTGTCAGCTAAAAATAAAACTTGTAAGAGTTTTAAAATCCGGAAATATTTCCAATATGAGGTCTGCTAAGGGCAGAAACATTACTCGTGACATTCATAGGTGGAAAAATACATGGGGGGGGAGGAGGTGTGATCTGAGCAGATGCAGATGAAACAGCATCTGATCATAAGGAATACTGGTTCTCTCTAGTCTCAAGCTAGGATGGCAATATGAATAAGCATTTGCAAAACAGGTTTAAAAGATGCACAGGCGATACAGATGCACTGTATGACTTTAACATTTGTGTTGAACAGCTCTCAAACAGGTGTGACAAAATAACTTTCATTTGAGATAATATTGTACATATTATTAATTAATTCCATGGACAGGAATAGAGAGAAAACAGCTGTACATGCTGCTGGAGATGGTGAAAAATACATTAGAATTAGGTCTATAGATTTATATTAGTTATACCCTGAATAAATCCTTATTCCACAGGTAGTTCCAGTAGCATTAATAGAATTCCTTGTGTTTTCAAGTGGTATTTAGTACAAAAAGGACAACAGTCTGATCCTTTCTCAATCTAGAGGTTTTACCCATTTATGCAGGAAAATAGCCTTGAACACTCAACCATATTTTTCACTTACATTATAATTTCATTTTTTTTGTTATAAGAAACTTACTTTAACAATAAATAAATTTTGTAACCAGTGCATACCACCGTCATGTAGTTTTTATAAGCTGTGTATGCCATTGTTTGTAACTTCTATATGAAAAAGGATGATGGCCTACAGTGGATCTTAAATGATTTTTCTAGCTGAAAAGGCATAAAACCATGTTTGCACAGCAGAGGAAGGGAGTGTTCCGTTTTGAAGTAAAAAGGTATTCCTAGCTGTTACTGGGACACATCTTATTAGGTTCCTCATATTCAATCTAAGTTAGATATGTCAGTTTATTTCCACATGTAAGAAAAGAATCACAGAAAAGATAGATATCACAACAATTAAGAGTATGAAATCCCTGGCAGTGTTCAAGGCCAGGTTGAACAGAACCTTGGGTTACATGATTTAGTGTGAGGTGCCCCTGCCCATGGCAGTGGGATTGCAGCTACATGATCTTAAGCTCCTTTCCAACCCTAACTGTTCTATGATTCTATGATTCAATGAAATTTAGAAACATTAAGGTATAAGTCAGAGTTCCTGATAATGAGATCTATTAAACTGTGGAATGCTTTTCCCAAGAGAATCCTCCATTGCCTTTATCTTTTAAAATTCCTTAGTACTTAGAATTAGCTAAGCTATTGGCTGAAGTGTAGAGGGCAACAATGGTACCAGATGGTAAATATGTATCCAGATGGTCATGACCTGACTGAGGGAATATAAGCAATACTTATTGACTGGTCAAAGGAAATAGGATCATACACACTCTTTTTCTGTAAGAATGCTTTGAAGAGATGTTCCTGTATGTCTTTTGTGTAACATGTTGATGAGACAGGATAAGAACTGGTTAAACACCTGACAAAAGACTGGCTCCCTTTTTCAGTCCTGCTCATAAGGATTGTTGTGTTACTGGTTTTAGTATTTAAAAGTCATGGAAATAAAGACTATGAATATATTAACAAATGCTTAATATGAAGATGCTTTAAGTTAAAAAACAAAGGAACAAAATCAGTTGATAGCACCTTGCAGTGTCAGGCAGTTGCTGTGACTGGAAAAGGGCATTTTGTTTATCAGTCCACCCAAAGTAAAATGTTTTCATGTAATTTCTATTTTATATCACTGTGTAGATTTTTTATTATTATAACACTGAAAAGCAATCCTGCTTGCCACTAAGAATAGTCTTTAATTCACATAATTTTTCTATCACATTGTCTCAAAGATACTGTCATTACACTCCTAGCTTTGCTTTCAAAATTTGCATTGGAAATGTGGTTGTTTTAACACTCACTCCTAACTGTATGGAATAACCCTGTCAGATGAGAGTAAAATATTTTTTAAAAGACAGTGTGCATTTTATGCTTCAAAGTCAGATCTAATATATGCTCTCTGAGGAGTAGAAGTTGAAGTAGATTATGTGATTTTACATTCTGGCAAAGAATACATTTTACCCTTGATCCAGAATATGAAAAAAATAGAATAAATGTTATCTGAAAAAAATCAGTAGCTATTAGTAAAGACTGTAAGAGTTCTCTACCAGAAAATCACTAAACCCGTGTTTTACAAAGAAAAATAGAATGGATTAATGTTTATTTAAAAAGCTGATACAATTTCTATTAGCAATTTGGATGCTGTCATATTTATTCAGAAAAAAAATCTTTATGTATGGGTCTATATCAGCCTTATGTCTCACACTGTCCAAGGGACAGTAAAATTTAACTATAGTGCATGGAAGGATAAAATCACAGGATAGTTAGGGTTGGAAAGGACCTTAAGATCATCTAGATCCAAACCCCCCCACCATGGGCAGGGACACCCTACACTAAACCATGCCTCCCAAGTCTCTGTCCAATCTGGTCTTGAACACCGCCAGGGATGGAGCATTCACAACCTCCCTGGGCAACACATTCCAGTGCTTTACCACCCTTACAGTAAAGAAACAACCTCCCTGGGCAGCCCACTCATTGCCTCACCACCCTTACAGTAAAGAATTTCTTCATTATATCCAATCTAAACTTCCCCTGTTTAAGTTTTAACCCAATAACATACACTAATCCAAAGGTAGTTCCAATATTAATTATTATTAAATCATTTTCATAGGACAAAATTATGTTACTAAATTATTATTTATTCCATATATACAAACATTTTGGCAAGACCAGACAAGATGTCCAACAGATGTAAAAAAAGTGATAAAAGTTGTTAACTTTAACCAGTCTATATTCAATATAGGCACACTTTATTATATATTCAATGAACCTCATTTCATTGTTTGTAAATGTTAATTTAATTACATCACTTATAAATTCAATAATATCATTACAATAACTTTTCAAATATTTTACTACAATTCTTAAATATGGCAGTGATTTTAGTAATACTTTACCCAGGTTCTTCCTGTCAAAGCATCTTATTCTTGCAAAAATCTTACCCTGCTTTTGCCAACACTGACTATGAAAACATCATAGTTAGCTTCTAAAAGCATTTGCAGTTCATCTTACTCAACTTTAACCACCTAAAGATTGGTGTAAATTATTCAACTTCCTTCTCATTGTGTGTTGCTACTTCCTTGGACAACCCAGAAGTTCAGAGCAAGCTGGATATTCACTCTCCAGGACTACAAAATGAGAAAGGCAATATCCTCCCTTATGGGACCAATTTAGACATGGTAGTCCGTACACAGCAAAGAAATCCTGCTAATACATCTGCATCATATAACTGAGGACTCTAACTCACTGATTAATCACCCCCAAAGCTTTCCCCAACCTGATAGCAGTATGAAGATTTTGCTTTGTCTTGTTACGTTCATGTACCTTTGTGTTTTGTTCCTTTTTTTGTGTTTTTTTTTTTAATCTAATAAATATTTTCCTTTGACAATAGTTCCTGTGATTTCTGAATGATTATTATTGCTTTATAGTATTCTACTAACAGCTAAAGACTTCTAAGTTTGCTCTTTGTGGATACATCTATTTCATGATTATAGATTTCAGGAAATGCAGAGAAAGAGACATGAAATGAAGAGCAACTGAAGTCAGCTGATTCATGTAAGTGTTCAGCTCCTCAGTGGAAACTGACATATTCAGTCCACTGCCCAGCTCCCTGGACTGCAGTGATTTTTTTGCAGCTCTGTTCATGCTTTCTTGGTGAATAACAAAATAAAATAAAAATGTTATGTTCACCTGAGTTGGTCTGTTCTGGTTTTGTAAGTTCCCTTGAACAACTTTTTGTATGAGACTGTTGTCATACCAGGTGAAAGTAAGGTAACTGCTCTTTTCTTGTTTATGATGCTTTTTCCCAACATAAACTAGCCTACAAGTGCATGAGATGTTTTAAAAAATTAAAAAGTGGAAGGTATGGCTCAGGGAAACACTTTATCTTGCTCTCTCCTTGGTGTATAACTTCCCTAGATCTACCTTTGCCCTCTTGTGACTTAAAAGAAACATAAAGTCTTTAGCAAATGTAGGTCATATAGGTCTCTCACAATATTAGATAGAGATTTGCTGATGCTTCTTACTTGTTATTTGTTTTTTTTTTCTTCCCAGTCCAGCAA